TAAAATCGCATGCCTGACAGTAGGGTTACCTGGTTGCATCCCAAAGTAATTCCCATTACGTCTGATTACCCCGCTGGCCGAAATTTGTGCCACTTGTTACCCCCCCCCCCACACACGCACGCACGCACACATGCACGCATTGAGTCTGGCGCCCCCCCCCCGCCACTGTCAGGGCGGTGGATCCTTACCCCGCCCCCCTCCCAAAACTAACAGAAAAACACCCGACACGCTACAGCTGACGTGAATTTGTATCCCCCAGACTTTCAGACTGCAAAATCAGACTAGATTTAGTTAATTTCTACTTGGGTGAGAAGGGATATATTATGCCAAAGCATTACTGTAACTTTCATTGGAAAAGTTTGTTTTGCTCTGTTCTAAGAACGCTGTCTGGAATTCCCCTTCCTTTCTGAGTGATAGTTTATGGTCAATTTGGCCTCTTTTGCCTTTATTCTTCTCAACTAGTAGAAAAAGGTACTTTTGACCGAAGTTGCCTCGCATTTTGTAACCAGAATCTTGCGTCACCTCTGTAAACCACTCCCCATTCCCGCCTAGACTGACTTTTAGAGTGCGCTAGATGCACTATCAGCAGCATGTCGCTTACTTCTTCTTACCTCGAGTTCAAATTTTAGCAAGTGTATATGTTTGGCTTTACTGTTGTTTGTGTAATGTTGATGTTTTCGCTTTTATGGCCGTGTCCTGATGCGACATGCACATCAATGTCCTTACTGATGCTACGTCTCATTTGCCAGCATACACCAAATGATCAGCATCGTTCAGATCACTTGCTGTCTATTCAGGTTTACAGGCAAACAATCTCATGCAGAACACATTAATCTACCCAACGAAACGAAAAAAAACAATTAATTACTGTTTTCGACACGTCATAAGGGTAATTAGAATATCTGTTGTACTTTTATTTCAGACTGCCAGGTGGCGCTGCTCATATCAAAATTTTGACGCAACTTTATTGGCCCGTTGCTTGGTAACGGAGTGACGTGAGACAAAATCTTTCTCAGAGATTGTTAGGGGATGTATACTCTTTCACTTAAGACCAAAATCTTAACAATCAATGGTTATTAAGGTCTCATTCATGTATTACTCCGAGTGTACCCCCTAAAAGAGTACCAAGTCAAAAACTAAACGGCTGTATGAACGAGTGTTTTTATTGGTGAGAATTTTACCTTTAGCCATCCCAACTGATGTAAAACGTCAAAGCGGTGAAAGCTTGTTTGTAACTGATGAAATTAGGACGTAATTGTCGGCAGCCGCGCGCTAGGTCGGACGTGCACAGTCCATTGTTGTGAGTTGTGCGGTCGTAGGTTTGCAGCGTGGGAGGGCCTCTTGCGGACAGCCGCTAAGTGCAGTTTCTGATTCCCATAAAAGGGGATTGTGTGTATAGAAGTCGTTGGCAATTTTTTAATGAGACGTAGGGTAAGTGTGTTTACAGAAGTATGAAAAACAAGAGAGATTATAGGAATTTGACAGGATCTTACATCAGGCGGCGTCTCTTTATCGTAGTAGTTGTTCAGGAACTCTACTAATGCTCCATCATCAAGGAACACTGATTCCCCGTGTAAAGGAGGTCCTGAGCTGACACCCAAGCTTTCCTTTCTCACCAGGCTGAAGTTGGCATCAATAGCGATATACTGTTCCCCATCATTCTAAAGAGAAAACATAGAAATAGTTGGGTTTTTTTTTCAGTTAAAAGAGCTAGAAAATGCTTTTGATATCCAGCATCTGTGTCCACAATATCACCACTTTCCAAAATAACGCCACCTTGATAAACAGTGGCAAACTGACAAGGTGGCGATATTTTGGAACGTGGTGATATTGTGGACACAGATGTTACACACACTATGGCCCAAATCAATAAATGCCATTACATAGCTTATAGCAAGACATGCAAATAAGGTCCCCAAAACATAATTGGCTATGTTTAGAACAAATCTGAACAGAGTATACAGCTCGCCATTTTCCCAACAGGAGACACAGGACACAAAGCTAAGAAAGAATACCAATATTTGGCATTATTGCATAAAAATAAAAAGAATTAAAGGTGATCTCACTATAGAGAGAGATAGAAGTGAACAGTATTATGATAGCAGAATATTGGTGTCAATGGTGTGATATTGCACAACACAACACAACACAATTAACCCTAAACAGTACACCTGGGGTCCGCGCGGACCCCAGCACTATATATTTTGTAATATCTTTTTTGTTTCTAAAGATTTTTTTCTGAAATTTTAGGTAATTGTCACCCACAAAGTTGTCTCTCAATACAGTGCAGAAAACTCCGTTTCTACCATTTATAAAAAAAAACTATATCTGATTTTCTTTTGGGGTCCGCGCGGACCCCAGCCGGCTTTCGATCATAATGGATACACTGGCGTTCTTATACATTACCTTATTTCCGTTTTCATATGTTTTTATGCACTCATCGTATGTCTACCAAGTTTTCAGAGAATGGTGTAGCAATAGAATTAAATTTTAATAACTTTGGTGTAATTATGACGCCATATGACGTCAGAGCTAATAATATAGTCCGCCATATTGGATTTTGACCAATGACGTCATCAAATTAGCATATTATATGCATTTTAAATGATTTAACTTATATTTAATTACGTAAGATGTTATTAATGTTGGAAAAGAAGTGTAATTTAATATAAAACTCAGAAAATTTTATGTTTAAACCAAAATTACTTCTATTTTCAAAAAAAGTTCCTGTTAGAAACCCGTTGCCATGGCAACACAAAAAAAACACCAACTTACTAGTATTAAACTAATATGAACTTTTTTCCAGAGACATTTTAGGAAAGGTCTCCAAATTTGATACTTCTAGCGCAAGCCGTTTAGCCGCTATCTGAGATCAAAGTTGGGCCTCAAAAGCCCCTTTAGTCTGAAATGGGTTTAAAAATCGGGTATTTCTTCTTGTCTTCTTTCCTTCACCAAAAAATAGAAAAAGTTCAAAATGTATGCTTTTTGTATGTAATGTGGACACAGAGGTTCCCACATCAGTTTGCGAAACAATTGAGCTGGTAGCATGTTGATAATTTCTAAAAATTAGCAAATAACGGTTCCGGGGTCCGCGCGGACCCCAGGTGTACAGATTAATCAGTCCGGGAAGGTGTTCTGTTGAGGGTTAAATAAGAGGACAGTCGATCGACAATGCATCCTCTTTTATCAAATTACATATACAATGTACCTTATCAATGTTATAATACATTGGACTTTGAGAGATCAAAAGTAGGAAGACCCATACATGACACTAACTTTTGCATTTGAAAACTAAAAATTACCGATTCTTACCAATTAGTAGTTACATATCAAACTGAAGCATTAATATTGGAAGCAATACACATCATTTGACACTTTATTCGAAAACAATAGAGTGGAAAAACCTCATCACCAATTTCTTAACACAGCTAAACACTGGAAGGAAGAAAATTCAGTTTGACAAAAAAAAAAAGAATTACCTTCGGACAAGCAGGGCAGATGATACCATCACTCACGTCTTTCATTCTTTCAAGCCTGTGCTTTAAGTGCCGAAACTCGGAAATACATTCTCCAGTAAGTGCCCGATAGAGAGTGTTAAACTGTCAAAATTAATTAGAGAAAAAAACATTTAAAAGATGGGTAAATTAACAAATACCATAATGTCCTTTAATTTGTTAAGTAACACATAAGCATGCGCTCTGTTGCATTGTAAACATTGTACCCACAGTTAAAAAATTAAGTGCACAGCTCCAATTTTGCACCCCACCACTGTTTTGAGCAATAATATGTCTGTCAGGAATAAAACATGAAATTGTCATACACACTTCTTCTCTTATGCAAAAATTCAGTAAAAAAAAGGAACAAAGTTTACCTCTTTGCGTGTCAAATTGTTCTTCCATCTCACTGTTCTACAGAATGCTTCTGTGGACACTTGGTCCTCTTTGCTGAGCCAAACTAGCCACTCCAGCAGTGAAACTGAAAATGCCGTCTGTGGCTTTGTGGGTGTTGCCCCCCACAGCCCCAATTGTAGTAAAGTTTGCACTTCACTTTCATGGTTACACATGGCAACATTCACATATTGCAGGCGACCTGAATGATAGACAAAAGGAAAACAAAGGAAAACAAAATGTTTATTTAGAATAGTAATAGTAGCAGTACTGTGTCAAGTAGTACTGTGCCTATCAAATAGTCTGGTTGTAAACTTCATTGACAGCAAATTATTTACTTGAGTTTTTTCAAGTGCTCACCAGCGGGAAGTGGTGCTGTGTACTGCTGGCCCCCAGAGGAAATACTGATTTTAATGGGCGAAAATTTCTATTGATGATGGTAATCGGCTGATGATCATGACCCACTGATGGAGTCACTAGACTTTGGTCAAGTGTTTACTTTTAAACCTAGATGAAACAAAATATTAGCAACACATATCAGAAACACATATCAGTAAAGTCACTACTTACCATTCTGATCAAACACCGTCAGTGCCCGGTAGTACCTTGAAAAGCACATCTCCTGGTGAGGAAGCACCAGTGTTTTCTCGTGGATGTAAGGCTGGAAACAGCCATCCTGGAAAAAAGCAGAGATACATTTTATTCACAGAATGAGATGTTGATTCTACATGTACGTGTTTGTACATGTATACTTGTGTAGTGAGTGTCTAGTATGCTATGTGAACTGTTGCAGAGTCAGTAAATCCAGATCAAGGCTCCCTGAAAGTAATAAAGTTGAAAGTACTAAAGTAAAATACTATAGATTCAGAAGAAATAGTAGCCCCAGATAATAATATACTACAGGGAGTAGATTGTACAAAAAATGAATGGCATACATTCCTTTCTCTTGGTTGAGAGATTTTAAAAATGCAATATGCATATGACTGATATCAACACAGAACTTAATAGTAGAGCACTAAGCTGATAACCAAAAGATGAGCGTCAACATGTACATGTATACCTTCCACTCCTCAGGCCAGTGAAGTGAGGGGCTTCTGTGACTCTCCTCGAAACATGGTAGACAGAAAATCCCAAGTGGACCACAATCCTGACAGTAGATTAGTGGGCTTGACAGAACTTCCTTACGACAAGAGCAGCATGTGGAGGTCGGTGGTTTCGCGGTTTGGACTGCTGTCCACACGAGATCGTCTCTTTCCTCTTCCCATGCTTGTTTCAGCTGCTCCTTTTTTTGTGTGTACGATGATGATGTTTCTACTTCAGGCTCGGGATGGGCTAAGTGCAGATTTGTGTTGTCTTGGAGAGGATCTGTTGCTGAGGCTGAGGGTATGCATGCTGTCACTGAAGACATGTCTCCAGGGTTAACATCTTTCCAGCTTGATTTTTTTCTGCCATCTTGTTGTACGACTGATACTTTTACTTGGGGCATAAACCAGCCAGACTTCTTCTTCCGCTTGGACATACTGTAGAAAATTAAATGTGTGGTACAAATTAATAAAAAGGTTGTATAAATTATGTAGTGATATATTTACCTCCGGGTAGGGATGTATCCCGTGCGCGGAGGTTTTGTGGGGGAAGACGAAAATTACGTTCGCAGCAGTTTCTAGCGTTTGGGTGGACGGATATGTCTGGGACTTGGTATACGTTTTGCTATTGGGCTGCAGATGGTGCACGTTGTTTTTGTTTTTTAGTATGTGTGTTTTAGTGCGTGAAAATGATGCGTTTTGACAGCGTATGGACACCCCTTGTGTGTGAAAGTGGTTTTGTCTTTTGGTTTTCGGCGTGTATAAAGTGTCGTAGGTTGCGTCCACATCTGGTGAGAGGGGGTTTCAGGTATCGAGTGTGAAAATGGTCGCGCGGGTCGCAGCCAGCCAACTTCCGGGTGGGCCAATGGGTCAGGGGTCAACGCCCTCTTGCGCAATTTCGGATGTTTTCTGCGTATAGTACGACTTCTTAACTTACAAATACCGTGGTATACTGTCTTAGGCGTTCTCGACATGCATTTCGCGTTGGGGTAGACGGGACTCGGTGTATCTTCTGTTAATGGGCTGTAGATGGTGCAGGGTTTTTTGCGACGTCCTCAGGGGACGGAGCATTGTATAGTACTGCGATCGATGTGCCAGGAATTCTAAAAATTCCGCCAATGCGTCCCCTAGGGAATTCACTTTTGGCCATGCCGGTAGCAGCTGTGCCTTGTTTAGACTTCAGTGTCATTTTATTTGGGGCGTGTGTGGTATTCCTATTTACATTGTAAGAATGTTGATCTTACAGTATAATTTTCACATCTTTCCGCCCACGCAACCCGGAGTTACATATATAACAGTTTTAAAATCGACGAAAAGCACCCGCGCGTTATAGTGGACGCGCCGCATATATTATCAGGCGGTGGTGGAACCCTCCCACGTGACCGCGCCGGCCAATCAGAACGCTGAGTTTTACAAAACTTTCATTTACTAGTAAGTAGCGATTTTTCTACCCCAGTATCTCGTTAAATTTCTCTACAATGGGATTATTTTGAAAGTTCAGAGTTGCGCCAAACTGTCGAGGAGACATCCCTTCGTCGCTGGTAGGCTATCGCTGAACACAGGTACGTCGCCTTTTTCCGATATTTGTGCCGTAAATATACAAGGTTCGTGGGTGCCCTAAAGCAACATAATTTACGATTTTCTCGATTTTGTGCCATTTTCAGTGGTCTAATTCGGGATTTTCCGAGAGGGTTCATTATACGACATGAAGAAAAATGTATACTGTGTATCTTAAACTCCCCAAAACGTTTACTGAACCCGTGTGAACCCCTAACCGTTCGGCCGCTATGAGGCAAAATACGGGACGATGCACAGCGAAATTTTGTTGTTGTAAAGCCAAGATGGCGGCCGGGCTAAAAATTGGCGTCCACAGAGTTTTCCGGTACGGATTCTTCTAAAACATTTACGGACAAAGTGAGATTTTGTCGACTATGATTAGGACTACTTAGTGACTTAATTCATGTATTTGTTATCGCTTGGTTTCGAACGATCGTGTGCATTTTCGTTGACGATAAAGGGGGAGGGGGGCGGAAAACGCTGCCGAGTTACTCAAGTCGGTCCCCTTTTGTTGTGCAAAAATATTGTCCACACATACTTTCATGAGACTTTTTGTTCTTGACATATCAAGATGCCGAAAGTAGCGACCTAGAACAGCTGCCCTTCCAACAGCTGCCCTTCCAACAATACTTTTGAAATAAATCCAGTTGCAGGCAGACAGCTTTATGCTATGTTTATGTGTGTGCTGCATGCTGAATACTGGTGCATAATAATATAATCTACAGTATATAAATGCAGTACCTACCTTTCTGGGATGGAGCTGTTGTTCATTACTTATTTTTCTATCAAATGATAAAGACTAACTGTAACTTCCTGGTGCACTGCCGAGTATTACTAGATACAAGCACTGTACTAAGTAGTTATGGGTGCTTCAGTTTGGACATGATAAAATTGCCATTTTTATTTCTTTACCAGCTCTCCATGGTCTCTGTCCTTTTATATATGTGGTTCATGTAAACTGATCATAATTTCGTCTTCCTTTCTAGCCTGCGGTATGTCAAGAAGCGAGCCATATCTCACATCAGATTCAGAGTTTGCAGCCCCACTGCCAGGGATGGAAACTCTATGCAGGATTCAGATGTCACCATCAGGAAGAATTGTCAATAGCCAAATAATTCTACAATCCCATACCCACACACGTTTTCTTGTTACATGTTAATTCAACTGAAGAATGTAATTTCAGTATGTACCCAAGTGTGATCATGACAGTGAACACAGGCATGTCCCATCTCTGATGTTTGGTGTGACAATGGCGTCCCAGTTAGAATATGTTGACCATTTAGAATAAAAATATATATCCTGCAACTTTAGGCTTAAGCCATTGCCTTGTGTAAATTTCTCACAACAGTTACAAAGAAGACAGTTTTTATTGCACAAGGATAAAGAGACTAGCATTTCAATTCCAAATACAGTTCCTGCGATGTTATGCTTCAGTCATAATAAAAATAAAAAATTCCAATGCTGAGATATGTGAATGATAAGCTATTCATTGGACAGTGATATACAAAAGGAACATCAGCATTTTTCACATCTTCAATCTAGATATAGATTTCATGTTTCCCTTCAGTAGATACTACTGTCCGAGGTCGCAGCTACAATGATGAATGTGTAGTCTATTTCAGAAAGAGAATGAATAGGATACTGTACATGTACATTTTTTTGGACATGTATTTGATTGTGGAGTGGTTAACTATGGTAAGGCAGGACTTGTGGAGGAATCCGTGTAACCTGACAGGGAGAATGTGAACAGTATACAAAATGTAAATACAATTCTGCATGTTGGCAATCTATTCATGTAGTCTGTTTTAACGGTAAATTTAACCTATAGTCTGTTCACTGTCATAGTACAGTCAAAATCCAATCGAATCTCTACACAACAACCCTGAGAGGATGTCACCCCAGCATGGTGTCCAGTATAGAAAAGAATATCAATATAGGACCTAAAACGGTAGATACATGTAGTTTAGGGGTAATCTAACTGATCAAATTATCCACATCTTACATACCTTCTATAATGCAAACCACATGTACTAAGCTGGCCAACCATATCTATTTTTTACGTCCAATATTAGTTGTTTTTTTTAACGGTGTCGCTCAATTTAAGGCCAATTATTTTTGGCCACTTCTAGGCATAGAGGTACTTAAGTGAGTATAATGTAGTTATGTCAGGAGATGGCGGTGGACCTTTGTTTTGAAGCTTTGTAGATTGTAATCGGACGGAAAGCAGCTGTTTGGAAGAGAGTTCCATAATTTTGTAGTGCGGGGAAAGAAGCTGTTGTTGTAAAATGGCTT